TAACATTGCTATGCCAACAGCAAATTATCTGACATAAATATCAAGAAAGAAAGTCCATTTATGATAGCTACAGAAATACCAGGAACACAATTTACTTAAAAAAAAGTAAGATGTATACAATGAAAATTATGAAATATTGGTGAAAAATTGAAGTGGACACAAGCAAATGGAATTATATCCTATATTTATCAACTAGAATTAATCTTGTGAAAAATGTTTGTACTACTGCTCAAAGAAATCTACAGATTCACAGTAATCTCTATCATATGCCAATGATAATTTTAAAGAACTGAAAATCCTAAATTTCTTATGAAACCAAAAAAAGCCCCACAAAGAACTAAAGACTTCTTGAACAAAAAGAACATGGTAGGAGGTATTAAACTATGTTCCTGTAAGTTACATACAAAGCTGTAGTAATCAAAGGATCATAATATAAGCAGAAATGCAGGTACAGAAATAAACTCAGGGGAAAAATAGTGAGGCTCACAGTAAATCCATGCATCTATTTGAAGACATTTCTGCAGGCAAAGACTTTATGAACTAACTGCTGATCATGCAGGAAATATAGCAAAGAATCAACAACTGGTGTCTCATCTTATTATAAAACTTTTGTACAGCAAAAGATACCACCAATAAAGGAACAACACACAGTACAGAGGGGCTGAGGATTTAGCTCAGCGGCAAAGCGCCTGCCTGGCAAGTGCAAGGTCGAGAGTTTGGTTCCTGGTACTGGAGAAAAACCAAAACCAAAACAAAACAAAAAAACACAGTGCAGAAAAAAAGTTTGCCAGTTATTCCTCAGACAAGGGACTAATATCTATAATTTATAGAGAATTGAAGAAAATCATACCTCACAACTTTAAAGACCCAACCCAAAAATGGGCATCTGAAATGAATACACACCTCTCAGATGAAGAAATACAAAGAATCAACATTGTGAAAATAGCCATACTCCCAAAATTGTCATACAGATTAAATGCAATCCCAAATAAAATGCCATTAGTGTACTTCACAGATCTAGAGAAAACATTCCTAAAATTCATCTGTAATCATAAGAGGCCTAGAATAGCAAAAGCAATCCTGAGAAACAAAGGAAAGGCAGGAAGAATCACAATTCCTGACTTGGAACTATGTTACAAATCTACTGTGATAAAATCAGCATGGTATTGGCAAAAACAGACCTGAAGATGAATGGAACAGACTAGAAGATGCAGACACAATCACAGGGACACTCAGTGACCTTATCTTTGACAAAGTGGCCAAACATGTTCACTTGAAAATGGTGCTGGAAAAACTGGCTTTCCACATGCCAAAGACTAAAACTAGACCCAAGTCTACTACCATGTACTAAACTAAAGTCAAAATGGATCAAAGAACTAAATATTAAAATGGAAGCACTTAATCTATTGGAAGAGAAAGTACGTAAAACTCTTGAAGACATAGGGGTAGGTAGAGAGTTCGTGAACAAAAACCAAACTGCATGGGAAATACTTCAAAGAATCAACAACTGGGCTCTCATCTAATTGAAAAGTTTTTATACATCTAAATATACCGCCAATAGAGTAAAAAGAAAACCCACAAACTGGGAAAACATTTTAGCCAACTATCCTTGAGACAAAGAACTTCTTTCTAGAACATATAAAGAATTAAAAGAAATCAACCCCCAAACTTCAAACACCGAAGCCAAAAATGGGCATCTGAGATGAATACACACTTCTCAGATGAAGAAATACTAATGGTGAATAAATACATGAAAAAATGTTCAACATCATTAGTCATTCAAGAAATGCAAATTAAAACAACACTGAGATTCCATCTCACCCCAAAAAGAATGGCTACCATCAAGAAATCAACCAATAACAAATGCTGGAGAGGCTGTGGGGAGAAAGGAACTCTATTCCACTGCTGGTGGGAGTGTAGATTGGTGAAACCACTGTGGAAACCAGTTTGGAGATTCCTCACAAAACTAGGATTAGAGGTCCCACTTAACCCAGCTATTCCCCTTCTGGGTATTTTTGCAGAAGAATTAAATACATCATACTACAGTGATATGTGTGCACCCATGTTTATAGCATCACAACTTGTTACAGCTAAATCTTGGAAACAACCCAGATGCCCATCCACTAAGGAAGAGATAAAAAAGATGTGGTATTTTTATACAATGGCATATTGCTCAGCTATAAAAAAAAGATGAACTCGAGGCTTTTGTAGGTAAAAGCATGCAACTAAAGACCATACACATAAGTGAAGTAAATCGGGCCCACATGTGTAAACAGCATATTGTGTCCCTGGTGTAGGAACCTGAAAGACTAGGTAAAACTTAAACATACAATAGATGATAGGAAAAGGAAAGAGATTGCTCAAGGAAGGAACAAATGGGATGAGGGAAAAAAGAAAAAAGAAAGAAGGAAGGAGATTATACATACATGGGGTAACTGTACTGTTGATCTCTGATGGTATACTGAAAGGAACAGTTAATGCTTAAAGTTTGTATATTTTGACCAATTTTGCATGCTTTTATCTGGTAATCTGAGCAACTGATTTATTTTTTTTTATTTTAGAAATAAAAGGAGGAAAATACTAACAGACCGACAACATTTTACAAAATAGCATAGGATCAGTACAGACGTTACAGAGTTACAAACAGAGTGGTAGGGAATTAACAATGCTTATTGTATTACATATTGATATCTTCAATGTAGTTTCTCATGAAAACACATATAGACATACAAAGCTAATCAACCAATGCCTCACTGACAGTTTCTTTCAGCAAGGAAATACAGGACAGTAGGACACCCGTGTTAACTGTCCTGCATATACATATATACAAACTTTCTCCTTCTTTCCCTTCTCTTTTCCCATATCCCAGTTATCCTTTACCTATGAGTGCTTTCCTATCAATTCTCAATGTCTATCATATCTCCTAGATTAAATTAACTCTTTCAGGCTTTACACTAGAGAAACAATGCGGTGCTTTGAGCAACTGATTTAAAGACAACAATATGCAATGGAACAACCATTGGTGAATTCCTACCATCTTGTCTAGATAAACTCTGTATTATCTCTAATGTTTAATCTAATAATTATTTTTCTATTCTCTTTAATGGTTTGAACAATCTTCCAGTCTTACATCTGGTAATCTGAGCAACGTAGTTGAAGGTAATAATAGGTAATACAACAACCACTGTTAATTCCTATCATTTTGTTTTAAAACTCTGTATCACTTTTAATATTCATGCTTTGTTTTGTTTATGTCTGTGATGTTGATATGTTGCTGTTGTTCTTTTGGTTTTTCTTTTTAACTACTCTCTTTAAAAAACAAAAACAAAACAAAACAAGAAAAAAACCACATCTGCTCAGGTACAAATGATCAACATTGTGAACTAACCTAACTAAACCAAGAAGAATCACTGCACTCACTGAGTCTACATGTTAATTGGGGATATTAAATAAGAAAAAAGAGAAGCTGGTAAATATTATGAAACTAACTTTGGAAGTGGTGATAGTGTGCATGGTGCATAGGGAGCAACAAGCCACGTAGGTCGTCAGTGTGGACTGATGACTCGGTGGAAGTAAAGTCAAGAAACAAGTGTAGTGAGAAAGCTCTCCTTGGGCAACAGCAAGTGTGAAGGCCCTGAGGCATGAGCCTGGTCATTGTGAAGAAATGGCAGGTAATCACTGTGACATTAGAGGGAAGAATGGGGAGTGACTAGAGAGATTGTCACTCAGCTCTACTAACAATGAATGGTCAGAGCAAACAATTTTGAAGCATTCGTGGAAAGAAAGGTGCAGCACATTACTGGCTTCTCATCTTGACTTGTAAACAGAAAGTGTGTAGTAATATGTTAGTGCACTGAAAAACTTTTACTTTTCCTGCATTTTTGTAGTTTGTTTTATCCCTTTGAACATGAAAGTAAGAGTGTTATTTGTGCAGAGTGACTTAGCCAAGCATAAATATTAACTCATGGCTCTCCCAGGGCAGGGTACAAAGGAAAGCACATACTTTCATTTACTAATATCGTGCTTTTCTCTTAGGATAGCAGTAAAAAGGAAGAACAAAATCTTAATCAAAATACATAAATTCTAACATTGAAGTTGAATGATTATTAAGTGCTAGTGCATTAGTAGGTGTGCCCCAGTGAAGCAGCCCCAAAAGGAGACCTGGGCATGTAAGAGATGACTGGTGTGGGTGTCAGCTCAGGTTGTGTGAAGGCTACACAGCCCTTGATGTGCTCCCCTCAAGCTGAGGACCGAGGACATCTGTGTTAATTCAGTCTGAGTCAAAGGCTGAGACGGGTTGGAAGGTATAACTTGTGGTGTGAGTCTTGAAAACCTAAGGAGTGAGATCGAGCCTCAGATCACCAGCCCTGATGTCCCAAACTGAGAGAATGAGGATGTCCTGGCCAGAGAACAGTGGGGGTGGAGCTAGAAAGCGGGAGACAGACAGAGAAAGCACCATGTCCCCATCTGCTGCTGTATTCCCACGAGCCCTCCGAGGGTTAGGGGATGCTGTCCAGAATGAAGGGGGCAGATCTACCCAATAGAGCCCACTGCTTCCACTACTACATTCTTCGGGAGTCCCTCTCCCAGACACACAAAGGTAAATGCTTTCCCATTTGTGTGGGTATCATTTCATTCACCAAAATTAACAAACAACTGGCGAACACAAACAGCCCACATTGCATTTAATTCTAACCATGTCACAGTATCCCCGTGTAAGTAACAAAATGAGAAATTTGAATGCATTTCTCATGTTAGTGGTCTCCCTGGAGCACCCCTTGTACACATTTGCAAGGGAGATAGGAAAATTGCATGCAAAATAAGTGAAAACATCAAAATCCCCAATGTGGGTTTTTAAAAGTAGATCTTAAGGTATCACAGACCTTCTCATGTAGGTATTTTTCTTTTTTGGACGTAACATTTCTTTTATCTGAGACAAAAGACATGCAGAAATAAATGCACATTATTTCACAAATTTAACCTCATTGTGGATCTTAACTGTGACTTGACACACAGTGCAGGTCTGAGGAATAAATCTAGGACTCATGAACTGCTCAGACCCAAAACCAAAACCTTAAAAATTATTTTTTCCACCAGATGAATCTACTCTTGACCTTTAAGAATGCATTGTTGACCTCCTTGTTCTTCAGGCTGTAGACCAGTGGGTTCAGCATGGGGATGACCATGGTGTAGAACACAGAGGCAACTTTGTCCGTATCCATGGAGTGACTGGAGCTGGGCTGCAGGTACATGAAGATGACGGTCCCGTAGAAGATGGAGACTGCGGTGAGGTGGGAGGCACAGGTGGACAGGGCCTTCCAATGTCCTGCCCCTGAGCGCATCCTTAGAACTGTGGTAAAAATGGAAATGTAGGATATCCAGACAACTAAGAGGGCAAAAAAGATGTTGAAGCTCACAACGTAAACAAGAACCAGCTCATTATGATGTCTGTCAGAACAAGAAAGAACCATGACTGCTGGAATATCACAGAAAAAATGATGGATCACATTGGATTTACAGAAGGAGAGACTGAATGTGTCCCCAGTGTAGGTGGAGGCGCTCAGGAAGGCGATGGCATAACAACTTATAATCAGCCATGTACATATATTTGTTGTCATTCCGGAAGCATAATGCAGGGGCTTACACACTGCTATGTAGCGATCATAGGCCATCGAGGCCAGGAGATAATTTTCCACACTGGCAAAAAGTGCAAAAGAGAACATCTGAGCAACACAAGCACTGTAAGAAATGACCTGGTCTCCTGTCAGCAGCCCAGCCATGACCGTGGGAGTGACAGCAGAAGAGTATCCAAAGTCCACCAGAGACAGGTTACCGAGGAAGAAGTACATGGGGGTGTGCAGATGAGCGTCCAGGAGGATCAGCAGGATCATCCCCAGGTTCCCAAGCACAGTGATGGTGTAGATGAGGAGAAAGGTTATGAAGAGGGGAAGCTGCAAGCGTGGGTCATCGGTCAGTCCCAGCAGGAGGAACTCTGTCACTTCTGTCCTGTTCTCCATCACTGTTACCTGGGAATCACTAGCTGTTTTGTAGCAATGAGATAAAAGACCCAGAATGATTAGAAATCAATTTGAGATGGGAAATTAAAGAACACATTCTTTCAGCGTAACAATAACTTGTTCTTCTAGATTCTCCATAAAAACCATTACCTTCAAACCAAAGATGAGTGCATTTGTGTACCATGTGCAGGGTTACAGGATGTCAAATCTGAGGGATCCTAATGTATTCTGCACACAATTTACAACTTTTCTATTCTGGGTAACTAAGTTGTAGACGATGAAATAACTAGATGAGGTCCGCCATGTGGATGACTCCATCTGGTTCTCACTCCTCCTGAGCTCTGTAGAAGCCAAACGCTCGCCTGATGCTCACTGCAGGACCTGCTGGAGACACTCGAGATGTGTGCCCTGTGTCTCCGCTCAGCCACACTGTGAGCTCGATTCATTGCTGCATTTACACCTCTGCACAAGAATTGAAGTAATTTACTCCCAGTCATGCAAGTATTAACTGATCATCTTTCCTCTGATCCCCTACCAACATTTAAATCATACGGAGCACTTCCTGAATCTAAGGGTCTAGAGTGGATCTAAAGCATACTTAACTGAGCTGAGTTTATAATTCTTCCTCACTTCCTTTGCTTCAAAATCACTGTTTTGGGTTTCACAGTGGAGAAGCAGGTGATTTATTCGGTGATAATTTCACTTTGTTCACTGTATATATTTGTTTTCACTGGAGGTAAAAGCAAAGAAGCAAAGATCCATAAGAGAGAACAACCGTTCTTTCAAGGATAAAGAAGTCCCTTTATGAAGTAATAGGATCTGAATTGCTTTAAAAGTGTTTCCCTTGGATCTAATGCTTATTTTTTTCTGCATTTAAAAAATTTTATTAGTGTGTGTTAGAAAACATTTATCATAGGGAATTTGTACCTGCACATGATATATCTTGCTTCTTTTTTCTATTTCCTTCTACTCCCTTAATCCCTCCCACCTTCATTTACAAAAGCTTTGTCTCCATTTTTTCCTTCTACTCCTTTTTTCTTCTTTTTTCCTTCCTCCCTCATCCCCTCTCTCCTGTCTTATTCCCCCTCTCATTTGAATATTTTCTTCCCATTTCCCATGAAAACAAGGACCAAAATGTATACTAGATCTAATGCTTATTACCACCAGCAAAACTACATGTCAATGATATGGATCTATATAAACCTTTGATTATGTCAGTGATGCCAAACCTTTCAGAGCTTTCAGTGATAACACACAACCCACTGCTGCATGCATGCCATAGGTTCACCACCACTGAATTAGGTTAATGATTAGCTTAGGTTTTGAATCCTCATTGCGTGTCTCTCTGCCTATTTGCTGAGGTGGAATAACTGGGGTGGTGCGTGCAAGTAGGAAAAAATGAGTGAGAAATGCGGAAAATTAGTGCCTCTTGAAATGCGCTGAATGTAGCCAATGATTCAAGGCTCAAAATTTTGGTACAATTCCAAAAAGCTCAATTATTTTATTCATTCATTTCACAAATGTTTATTGAGGAACTGCCATGAAAAACACATCTATTCCTGTCTCAGAAGACATGTAGAAGCAATTCTGAGTGAAAGCATAGCATCAGAAATAGCACACACAGAGCGTGGGTTCTTGGAAGATATAGACTTAAAACCTGAAATTTATCACCCAGGGATCTCAGGTCCTTGGCCAGCTCCAGCGAACATTATATTTCCATCTGAAAATACGGTAATGAGATTGGAGTTGAGGTAATACTGTGAGAGTTAAATAAGATAATGTCTAAGTGCAGTAAAATACTGGCTGCTGAGTGCTAGCAGTCATGTTATTAGTAGGTTGGAGCACTGGTCTTTATGTTGGTTGGATCAAAGTGGGTGCTGACACGCAGGTCTTCAGCTGCAAGTGATTTTGAAGTCTTTAAGCTTCTCTTTCGCTTTGCTTTCTCTCCCACTCTAGTACCATGGAGATTTACTGTGCTCAGCAGTGCCTTTCCATCTCACTTTCTCCAAGGGTACCATCGCTGTTTTTGCAATTGCAACGTGGGACATTGGTTTTTGAAAATTTCTTCACTGAAATTCATATTTTAGTTTGGGAAAAAATAGTCTATTGTTCCTAAAGTTCATTCTTTCTCTTTTTGCTTCATCCCACAGCCAGATTACAAAGATCAAGTTCCTAGTTTATGGGTTGTCTTTAGCTCCTAGATCTTTTGAATGGCAAGTTCTGGGTCTTAAAATTTCATATTTGGATCTCTTCTTATGTTATAACTGTATTTAAAAATTTTTTTTTAGAACTGAAGCTTTGGGACGAATATTCATTCAACAATAACTACTATCCACGGGTCTTTCTCTTAAATTTCTGACAGGTTCAGTTTCTAATGTGCCCTGTGAAGGTATTATCTTTAGGACAGATGATCACTTTTAGCATATGCTATGTTTTATAATAAAGCTTAATGGATTTACATATAAATATTGCATGTAGATGCGTGTTTGTATGTGTGTAAGGCAATTCATATTTTTATCACTTTATCCACAAAGACACAGTATTTGAAAGATGGCGCATGGGGCTGGGGGTTTAGCTCAGCGGCAAAAGCGCCTGCCTGGCAAGCGCAGGTCGTGAGTTCGGTTCCCGGTACCGGAAAAAAAAAAAAAAAAAAAAAAAAAAAAAAGAAAGATGGCGCGATGATCAAACAGTATACACCTCATGTGGGAAATACTCTGGATGGGAGAGTTAAAGCCACATTCCAAGAATTAACATGGGCTGGTGGTGGAAATGTTGAATGCATGTCAGAGCCTCTAACTTCATCTTGAAGTCCTGTGTAGTATAAAGAAACATGATGGCACTATTCAGGGTTTTTGTGGGTGTTTTTGCAACCTCCACCTAGTTGTAAACAGTGAATGAAATACAAGTCATTAGTCAAAACGTCACCTATCTTATTGGTTGCTCATCATCCATGATAGAAATTCTAACATTTAGCTGCCAGATTCCCCTCAGTTTTCAAAAGCTTTGTGAAAACAGCACTTTCTGTTCTCACATTACTCATAATAGGTGTAGGTAGTCAACTTCCTGTACATAAATTACACTTCTCACTATAATGGGTACGGGATGTGGAAGCCTACCCTCTTTCTAGAAGGGAAGGAGTCTACAGTAGTGATTTGGAAGTCGTAAGCTCAGCCACGGCATACTCATGAATTCTAGTGGAGGAGTTTGCCCACACATAGTAATCAGAATGTTCCAACTCCTCTCTGGCAGGAAGAAGTGGAGGGAAGAATATTAGCCCAGACCAAGTTCCCACCGCCATGAGTTCTTCCCAGGCCCCTACACGAATCACTTACCTCCTTCTAGCATGGAAATGGAAGATTATTTTTCTAACACACTTCACAGATCCTGTCCAATACAAAATAATAGGTCTGTCAGACAAGGTGTAAAGAGGCTGTCATTTAAAAATCCATGTGTTTTTATCTGTCCATGTTCACACACTCCTAGCAAATCCTCAGGTCCCAACAGCTGTTTGCATTAACAATGCAGACAGTGTGTTCCTCCTAAGCATTGCGCTGAGTCGTTGGGCCTATGCCAGCTTATAGTACATGGAAACCTGGAGAGAATTGCTCAGACTTGAAGATCTCTGGAGGGTTCCCTGTGTGACTGTCTGCTGCTCCTCAGTCTGCTTTCTCGGGGAAGAAGCAATTAAACTACCTGCAGACATTAAGATGGCTATAATGTTCCAAAAATTAAGTTTATTTTAGTAACAAATGGAAACATAAATTACTCTATGTTATTTACCTTGATATAATAAATATATATCATGTACCCCAGTTTCTTTCATCCATTCTTCAGTTGATGAACTCTGAGAGTTATTAGTGGTCGAGAATAGTGCTACAAAGAGCAAGGGAGTATAGGTGTCCTTTGGACATACTTTTGATTTCATTTCCTTTGAGTTTATATTTCGCAGGGTGATTGTTAGATCACATGGTAGTTCTATTTTTAATTGTTTGAGGAACCTCTGTAGAGCTTTTCAGGATGGCTGTACTAAAATTCCCATCAACAGTATGCAAGCACCCCCTTCCCTCCACACCCCTGCCAGCCCTGGTTACCTTTATGCGTTTTGATAAAGGGATTCTTGCGGTTGTGAGGAGATATCTAATTATGGTTTGGAATTACATTCTTTTTTAAATGAACAAAAGGTAACTGATTTATTTACTGGGAAAAGTTATGCATTGCATGATAGTCCATTGGTAGCCTAAACCAAGATACAAGAATTGAAATATTGGCTTCTGGTTATTTTCTCTGCACCAAAGTGTTTTCCCAACTGTGGAGTATACAGTTCCTCCACAAGACATTCTCTGAGCATTGTCTACAACAAAGACATAAAAGGGACAAGCAATAACAAAGTCATAAGAACTTTTTTGATTGATGAAGATAAGCTTTTTGTTCATATGACCTGTGGGTATTTTTAGGTCTCCTTTTGAGAAATATCTACCTGGGTCCTCATCCCACACAACCTCTTTGCAGGCCTTCACTCTGAGCTAGTTCCTTCTAGTATTTGTATATTTTGAGACAGGGTCTTGCCAAGTTGCTGAGCTGCCCAGGGTGGGCTTAAGCTTGCCATTTTCTTGCCTTGATCTTCCTGTGTGCTGGGATTACAGTATGTAGCCACTTGTCTTGCTCTATTGCTCCTTTAAAAGTCAAGTTATTTGATATTTTACTTTTTTATTGCAGTTTTGGAGTTACTCATGTATTCTGGGTATCAACTCCAGTACAGAAATATACTTTTCAAATAAATTCTTCCGTTTCATAGGTTTTCTCCTCCATCTGTTTTTCACTTCCTTTGCTGTTGCAGAAAGTTTTAAATCAATGTAATCCCATTTGTCAGTTTTTGCTTTTGTTTCTTGTGTTTTGAGTTTTCTTCAAGAAATTTTGTGCCCATTCAAATGTCCTGAGAATTTTCCTTACATTTTCTTGCAGCAGTTCTAGTTTCCGCTCTTACATATTAAGTCTTTAATTTATTTTAAGTTGATTTTTGTAA